AAGGATGTTTAACATACTTAGATTCCACACATACTTGACATTTTGATTTGTCACATTCAAATTAGGCAATATTTCCAAATTAATCATTTTTTGCAAGGTTTTATAATTAACATGACCCAAATGTATATGCCATAATTCATTTGACTCAAGTAAGTAAGACGGACCTGAAATTTTATTATTATTTTCAACAACCATTACATTCAGCTTGAAAAGGCCCTCAGTGAGGTAACCTTTTCATACAAACATCTCGTTCTTACTTATTACAACCTTATCGGATACAAATTCACATTTAAAATCATTCTTAACAAGAAGTCCAGTAGAGACTAAATTCTTCCTAATCTTTGGAACATGAAGGACGTTGTTCAAAGTCACTACTTTGCCGGAAGTCATTTTGAGAAATATCTTCCCACATCCTTCAATCTTGGCCTTTGCAGCATTTCCCATAGAAATCGTCTCATCGGGTCCAACAGGAGCATAAGTAGAAAAAGTTTCTCTAACAGCACAAACATGGCGAGTGGCTCCAGAATCAATCCACCACTCTTTAGGATTGCCCACCAAGTTTCACTCGGAAAGCATGGCACACAAGTCATCAACATCATCATGCTTTTCAACCATGTTTGCTTGACCCTTCTTCTTGTCTTTCTTCAGAGCATGACACTCCGAAGATTTATGTCCGGCTTTTCCACAGTTATAGCAATTTCCACTGAACCGCTTCTTGCTTGGGTTGTATTTCGGTCTAGAAGCCTTCTTCCTCTTTTTGTTCTCTTCAACAGTATTTGCTCCTATTATTGTTGAGTTTCTGCGGCCTCTTTTTTCAGCAGTTTTGTTGTCCTCTTCGATTCTCAACCGAACAATAAGATCTTCAAGGGACATCTCCTTGCGTTTGTGTTTCAAGTAGTTTTTGAAGTCCTTCCACAAATGAGACAACTTCTCAATCATCGTTGCTACTTAGAATGCTTCATTGATGACAATACCGTCAATAAAATTTCTGTTTGTAAAAATACTAAGATTACTACTTTCAACATCAGTATTAATTTGATTTATACCTTCAGCAAGGAGATCGTGAATAATCACTTGCAATTCCTAGATTTGGGTAATAATAGACTTGCTATCTACCATTTTGTAGTCCAAAAACTTTGCACCAACGAACTTCTTCAACTCGGCATCTTTGATTTTGCATTCTTTTCAAGCGCAATCCACAGTTCTTTTGATGTTTCCACGCCACTGTAGATGTTATACAAAGCATCCTCCAGCCCGCTTAGAATATAATTCTTGCACAAAAAATCTGAATGCTTCCACGCCTCAATCACGAGAAAGCGTTCAGTTTCTGGAGTTTCATCGGACAATACAGGAACATCTTCTTTGATGAACTTCTGGAGACTTAGAGTAGTCAAGTAGAAGAACATCTTTTGCTGTCAGCGCTTGAAATCAATCCCGAAAAAGTTTTTGGGTTTCTCCGTCGGTGCCAATGCTGCCGGTGTTGTTCGACTCGCTGAGGTATTGGCAGTCACCATTGGAACAGCTTGGTTCACATTATCATTAGTCATTTCTGTAAAAGAATGACACAAACGTTAAAATCACGTAGATTTTGATCTCCAATAGAGTACAAAACCACAAAGGTTTTACTCTCTAGAAATAGTAAGTACAAATACAGAAAATATATTAAATTCCTTAAGCTTGTTAGTAATCTGTATTTGTAAAATAATTCTGGAAAATATAAATGAACATAAACAGAAATGTAAACGAAATAATAAAAACCAATTCGATCCCACTGAATTTAAGTGTTTCCTTAAGGAATTTAATCCCCTCCTAGTACCCAGGGTTATGAATTATTTCCTCCCAGGATAGAACGAATTACACACTGGTGTAGTGGTACTTCAAACCTCAGTGTTTCAGCGAACACAAAGTTCGGTAGCAAATCATACTTACTGTTGCTTTCTTTGAAGTTAAAATATGCAGAAGAAAGGAGAAGAACACAGAAAACTCGTATGGAAATTCTGAGCAGAATAGCCTTGTATTTATAGCCAAAGTTGGGTTGAATTCTGAAGAGGTGCAACTCTTTAGAATGGCTGTTTATGCAAAACAGCCACAACATAAATGTCATTACATAAATGGCTATTTACTCAACAATAAAGAGGGAAAATAAAGAGGGAAAATTGAAGAGGGTAGTTTAATTTTCAGTTACACAACTGAAAAACGGATTGGAGGATTTAATATTAATATTTATTTTAATATTAATATTCTGTTATTAAAATAAATATTTCTGTTAATATTTTACTATTAATAAATAAATTTGGTCCAAAAAATTAATCAATCAATCATTTGACCAAATCCGAAGCCGAGCCAAGCAACGACGACGACGACGCGAGGCATGTCTTCTTCTCAACTCTTTAAGAGCTAGAAGAAGAGCAATTGCTTATATACCCATTAAAAATCTCTTCCTCTTCCAATATGGGACAATGTTCTTTCATCAAGGAGCGAATCTTAAATGAAACTCAAATATTTCATTTTCCCTTCATTTTCCATTCACCCTCTTTTAAGCATAAAATATACTTAAAATCCCAACATGTACTTCACAATTATACTATTTTGTTTTGCAGAAAAAGGCTTTGAAAACACGAGAAACGTGGGTGGCAAATGCACAATGGCAAGTTCTTTCGTTTCCTATAAGAAATTGATAGGAAATGGATTAAAAAACAACAAGTTAATCTTCACTGGTTATCCAGTAGTGGGTCCTCAAGGGAAAATGCAAACTTCAGGTTCTTGTTTATACTCATCCCCTATAGACATCACTAACACATGTGCTTGGGATCCAAGAATCTATGGTCTCTTCTTCTATGAATCCACAGCCAAATTTCCAGCTTCAAAATTCGGAGATTTCATACGTGATGTGAAAAAATTACGCGATTTGGTCAAGCCAGAAAACATGTGTGGTGTTGACATTTATAACGGATTTCTTTTTCGTTTTATCAAGGCCTCGGATGCATATTTAGGCCAAGGGGAGGATTCAGTTGTCTTGGATTTTAACTATTACCGCGCTAATGATGACTTAACCCCGCGATTAAACCAAGATATTTGGGAGGAAATTGAGCAAATGGCATTTGTTAAGTATGGAGCTAAGCCACATTGGGCTAAAAATAGGAAAGTAGCATTTCTTGATGTGCAGAAGAAGTATCCAAAATTTAACAAGTTTATTGCAGCCAAGAATCAATTGGATCCTAAGAATATGTTTTCTAGTGAATGGTCTGATGAGATATTGTTTGGGAAGCGAACTGTAAAGTGGGATGGCTGTGCCTTAGAAGGGATGTGTATTTGTTCAGAAGATAGGCATTGTAGTCCATCAAAAGGGTATTTTTGCAAGCCAGGACTTGTTTATCAAGAAGCACGTGTGTGTAGGTTTTCATCATCTTCCTCAAGCTGAAGGTCAGGGCGGCTCAAAAATATTTGTGACCTAAAGTCAAATCTGATAAAATGCCTTAATTTTTTTAAAGGCATATTTTTATTTGAAAGTATTTCTGTAACTTTTGTAAATGCAAAATTATTAATAATATAAAAGACTTCTTCTTCTAATAAACACACATACAAAAAAATCTAAGTCTTTTTACCTGATTGAAAATATCAGCTAGAGTATTATCTTCTACTTGTATTAATTTTCTTTAATATTTTGTTAATTGAGAAAAAAAAATTTAAACATCAATATTTGAAGTAATTATTATGTTTTAAGGAACTTTAGTGATTAAGACAATATTTTTTCAGATTCGCATCGCCGAGTGATATTAATTTTGTGCCTCTAATAGAAAACCAAAAATATATTCATTATCTCAACTTGATCAAATCTATTTTGAAGTTTTCTATTTTCATTTTGTTAAAAAGTTGTACTTTTTTACTTCAAAATACTTATTTTAATTTATTGATAAAAAATATTAATTCATACACCACTACTAGTACTGGTGAAAACAATTGGGACCCCCACAATTTTGGGGCCTAATAAAGCCATTGTTTTAATTGCCTTATGCATCAACATACACTGAGCTGAATACTAATTTACTATATTTATTTTCTCTAATACCGGAGGTGTCAAGCTGGAGTATTGGTTTTCTATAATATTGCAAGAAAAATGATTAATTATTTCGACATATTGGTTTGACCGTTTATTCTCATTTTTGTCACGATCCGAATTTCCCACCGTCGGGACCGTGATGACGCCTAATATTGAACTCGCTATTCAAGCCAACGTTACAGAATATTTCACTTTTTCCTTTATCTTTAAATATTTCAAATTTTATAAAAGTAAATCAGCGAAAATAAATGCGGAAGAACACAATTTAAAAGATTATCTTTAAGCTAATAAATAAAATCCACCTAGAACAGATGTCACAACTCACAAACAGTCTACGAGTACTACAAATAATAATCTGAACAAAAAGTTTACATCTGTCTCGAAGATAGATAAAACAGAAATTGGATAGAAGGAGACACTAGGGCCTGCGGACGCCTGCAGGGCTGCCTTGGGTATCTGGAACGCAGTAACAGCAACCAACCTCTCGATCAGCCACTAGCTCCGAAATCTGCACAAGAAGTGCAGATCGCAGTATCGGTACAACCGGCCTTATGTACTGGTAAGTGCTGATCCTAACCTCGACGAAGTAGTGACGAGGCTACGGCGGGGTATACAACATATACAACATGCAACAGTTTATACTAAACAGAAAGGAAATACAAAATATAATAAAGCAATAACTGGCATTAAATAAATTCTGAACCCAACTGTTCTACTAGTATTCAGCTATAACCAATCCTTAAGGGTGTTTCAACATCACAATAATGGACCTCAATAGATATGAACACATAACAACAACTGATACAGCGCGCATCCCGATCCCATCATATAAACAAAAACGGTATCAATATCCACCCGTATTCCTCCTTCTTGCGCGCGTGCAACCCGATCCCACATGTCCACCCTTATTACTCCTCAACACATATCACCCTTATTCCTCCTGTTGCGGCGCGTAACCCGATCCCACTTGTCCACCCTTATTACTCTTTCTTGCGGCGTGCAACCCGATCCCACCAGACAATCACATTTCACCCTTATTCCTCCTGTCGCGGCGTGCAACCCGATCCCAATATATATATATCAGCACCAATCACAAATGAATAAAGACAAGTGTTTCACAAGTTAATTCAAATCCTCCAATATACTTATACCGCAATGCACACAATGAAATATCACTATGATTATGAAAGTTCACTAGTGTAAACTACTCATCGAGACTAACTAAGGTGTACCATAAGGCACCAACAAGCCAATATAAGCCAACAGTGTAATAAAACGAAACCATGAAACAATTAAATACTTCAATAAAGAGATCAACAGTCAGTATGAAATAATTAGACATGGAAACATTTAAGAGCAAGTAGCAATTTAAGATAGGGAAACAATTATGAGCAAGTAACAATTAAGACAGGAGAGCAATATATAGTGAAACAGGGAAGGGAACAAGTTAAAATGTTAATTTGGTGGTGCATAGGTACTCGTCACCACACCTATACACCACACACATGAAATTTCACATAGCAAGCAAGTCGGGGATCCCTAATCTCTCGAGTCAAGGTTAGACCAAACACTTACCTCAAGCAAATGGGTATTTCAAAGCTCAATCACCGCTTTACCTCTCGATTCCACCACGAATTCACTAGTATCTAGCCATAATTAACCTAATAACATCAATAAACGCTAAGGAAACCAATTCCAATTCATAATCAAAGATTTCCCAATATTTTTCCCAAAAAGTCAAAAATCGACCCCGGTCCCGCTTGGTCGAAACCCGAAGTTCGTACCAAAACCTGATTACCCATTCACCTCCGAGCCCGGATATGCAATTGGTTTTGGAATCCGACCTCAATTTGAGGTCTAATTCCCCAAATTTCGAAATTCCTAAATTTCACCCAAAAACACCCAATATCCCATGAAAATCCCTAGATTTATTGATAAAATCTTGCAAAAAGATGAAATAAATTGAAAGAGTTGAGTTAAAAATCACTTACCTATGATTTGGAGAAGTTTGGGTGTTTTGAAAATCGCCTAGGGAGGTTTAGGGTTTGAAAATTTGAAATGAGTTCAAAATCCCGTCTGAGTGATGTTTTGATCAGTTGCAGATGTCGCATTTGTGACAGGAGCTTCGCAATCACAAATGCGAGACAGGCTTCGCAAATGCGAACCTGCTGCATGTCTGCTACTATCGCAATTGCGAACAATTTGTCGCAATTGTGAATGTTGACCCTCCCTATTGACTTTGCAAATGCGAAGGAATGTTCGCGAATGCGAACATGCTGGCCAAGCCTTTGGATCGCATTTGCGATGTAAGGCTCGCAATTGCTATGCATGTGAAGCTCGCCATTGCGAAGCCTGATCTCGCAATTGCGAGATCATAGGCTTGCAACAGCTGAAGCATACCAGCAATATTTTTCCTAAGTCCAAAACACCCCGTGGCCTATTCAAAACTCACCCGAGCCCTCGGGCTCCAAACCAAACATGAACACAAGTCTAAAAATATTATACGGACTTACTCGTGCAATCAAATCGCCAAAATAATATCTTAAACAACGAATTTAATACTAAAACTCATGAAATTCTCAAGGCAGTTCAAAAATTTTAACTTTTCAACCAAGGATCCGAATTACATCAAATCACCTCCGCATTTTTACCAAATTTCACAGACACAACTTAAATATTATATCAAACCTTAACCTAGCTCCGGAAAAAAAAATACGAGCCCGATACCAACGAAGTCATGCACTATTTCCATTTCTAAAATCCTTATATTTTCCAGCAAATAATTTTCTTCGAAAATTTATTTCTCGGGCTAGGGACATCATAGTTCTATTTCGGGCATACGTTCAAGTCTCATATTTTACTACGGACCTCCCAGGACCATCAGAACACAGGTACGGGTCCGTTTACCCACAATGAGGATCGAAGTCAACTAAAATCATCTTTTAAGCGAAAAATCATTATTTCTGAAAATTTTGACCCAAAATGTTTTCGGTATCGCTCCCGGGCTGTGCACGCAAATTGTGGAGAGATAAAAGGAGGTTTTAAGGCCTCGGAACACGGAATCGGATTCTAAAACAAAAGATGACCTTTGGGGTCATCACATTCTTCACCTTTAAAACAACCGTTCGTCCTCGAACGGACATAGAAAAGTACCTGAGTCGATGAAAAGATGGGGATATGGGCTCTGTATATTGGACTCGGACTCCCAGGTAGCTGCCTCAACACGCTGAACTCTCTACTACACACGAACCGACAGATAACTCTTCGATCTCAACTAATGAACCTGCTGGTCTAGAATAGCTACCGACTCCTCCTCACAGGTCAAATCTCTGTCCAACTGGACAGTGCTGAAGTCTAACACGTGAGATGGATTGCCATGATACTTTTGAAGCATGGACACATGAAACACTAGATGCACGGCTGATAAACCAGGCGGCAATGCAAGTCTGTAAGACACCTCTCCCACACGATCAAGGATCTCAAAAGGTCCGATGAACCTAGGGCTTAGCTTGCCCTTCTTCCCAAATCTCATCTCGCCCTTCATAGGCGACACTCGAAGCAACACTCGCTCTCCGACCATGAATGGCACATCACGAACCTTACGATCGGCATAACTTTTTTGCCTGGTTGAGCTGTACGAAGCTTATCCTGAATGATCTTAACCTTGTCCAAGGCATCTTGTACTAAATCTGTGCCCAACAACCGAGCCTCCCCTGGCTCAAACCACCCGACTGGCGATCAATACCGTCTACCATATAATGCCTCATAAGGAGTCATCTTGATGCTCGACTTGTAACTGTTGTTGTAGGCAAACTCCGTTAATGGCAAGAACTGATCTCAAGAACCTCCAAAGTCAATAACATATGCGCGAAGCATAACCTCTAAAATCTGAATAGTACGGACTGCGTACCCAACTCATGCTATACTGTCCTCCAAAAAAGCAAGGTAAACTGTGTACCTTGGTCCGAAATGATAGACACGGGTACACTATGAAGGCGAACAATCTCCCAGATATAGATCTCAGCTAACCTCTGCGAGGAATAGGAAAATGATAAAGGAATGAAATGCGCTGACTTAGTCAGCCTATCAACAATAAGCCATACTGCAACGAACTCCCTCTGAGTCCGTGGGATGCCAACAACGAAGTCCATAGTGATACGCTCCCACTTCCACTCAGGAATCTCAATCTGCTGAAGTAAACCACCAGGTCTTTGATGCTCGTATTTTACCTGTTGACAATTCAAACACCGAGCTACATATGCAACAATATCCTTCTTCATCCTCCTCCACCAATAATGCTGTCGTAAATCCTAATACATCTTAGCGGTTCCCGGATGAATTGAATACTAGGAGCTATGGGCCTCCTCTAGAATCAACTCACGATTTTCATCCACATTAGGCACACAAGCACGACCCTGATCCTTAAAACTCCATCATCTCCAGCTATAACCTGCTTGGCACCACCGTGCCCGCACTGTGTCCCTAAGGACAAGCAAATGACGATCATCA